GGACGCGATGCCCCGACAAAGAAGCCTTTCTTCATCGACACAGGTAAGCCTCGTGAAACCAGGCTTACCTGTGTCGATGAAGAAAGGCTTCTTTGTCGGGGCATCGCGTCCAGACTCCCCCGATCTGCCGACAAACAGCTGATCGGCAGATCGGGGCAGCCATTTAAATTTAAATGAAGCCGCGATTATTTTAATCGCGGCTTCATTTCCCCCTTCCGATCTGGCTAATCTACATGCCTCCGTCGAAGGAGGCATGTAGTCTAGACACACCCCTAGTGCCCACGGCTGTTGCCCTCACTGGTCTCTTGAAGCCCTGCCTTTGACTACTCCCTCATCATTCCCCTGCAAATCTCGAAGTCCTTTACAAATACTCATTATTTCTGCTTTGTAATTCACAACTGTAACAGGTAGATACAAACTTCGACAATTGCTTGATGGGTAGGTAAACTGAGGTTAAGCAACTAGGCCAAGTTCACGCAGGCCAGATCTACACTAGACTCGAAAATATGTAGCTGGAGTCAGTTTACCTTTAGCTGAGCCTTGACAACTCCCACATTGTGGGAGACTCATGGGAGCAAACTTTCCCATTGGCTTTGCTTATTTCTCACAAAAGGAGGAGTATTGTACACCGGCGGGAGCTGCCCTCAGCCAGGGCTGGATTACCCAATAGGCAGATTAAGCATGTGCTTAGGGCACCAGCAAAGCAGGGGCACCAAAAAGAAATAAGATTTTATGGTATAGTATTGTTTTTATTTTGAATTACATAGGGGGGGGCACCGTAACTTTTCTGTGCCAAAGGTCTTAATCCGGCCCTGCCCTCAGCATTTGATTTAGCAAGTCTATACTAGACCCGCTCAATCGAACACCAGAAGCTCGACCTCCGGAGCGTTGATCTTCTGGTAAGTATAGACATGCCCACCATGACTCATGTAAAGCAAGAATGAGGACATGGGATAAAGTTCTGACCCCTGCGAACTTCTGCCACTGACTTCAGTGGGATTAGAAATTTACCACAGCAGTCCTGCTTCTCATCCCCCTGGATACTAGTCAAACTCCCTCCTATGCCAGTGGCCCATGATAATTGGCAATGGTATTGCAAATTCTTGCAGCTCATAATGGCTTATGCTCCCTTCGCAGAAAGTTCTTTGAAATGGTAGAGGACAGCAGTAGCCCACAATAGCACTTCCCTTTATTTATTTCATCCTAACAGATAAAGTTCTGTCTAATCGGTCTCAGGAACTATTCTTAAGGGCTCTTTCATGGTAGCATTTGTGTCCTCGATGAGCCTACTGATGTTTATTGGCTCGCTTAATGTAAACTTGATGAGTAATGGTAACAGAAAGGAGCAATCCCGGTAAGCAATCCGCATCTGCTCTTGGCTGTAGTTTGCTCCAAATTGTGTTCGGAGCAAACACACTTTGTGGGCTTTTCTAAAGCACTTTGTGGCTTTTCTAAAGAATTAAGTAATATAGCAAGATCATCTACTGACTTCCATAAGAGAGTCTGGATGCCTGGGTTCTCCTCCTGACTCTGCTACTGAAGTCATCAGATGATCTTGATAGAGTAAGGGTATGTCTACACTGCACGTTATTTCGAAATAAGCTATTCTGGAAGAAATACTCCGAAATAGCTTATTTTTAAATATTGCATCTGCTCTACAGGGAATCCTCAAAATTAGTCCAAGACAGGGTCCCCTAATGTGGACACACTACCTCGATCTAGAGCCCCCCAGGCATTACTGGGGAGTAATTAGTTTGAATGGTCCTGGCGAGGAGCTATTTTGAAATATCAGCCGTGGAGCATCCATACTACAGCTATTTTGGAATAGCTATTTTGGAAGAGGGGTTATTCCTCATGGAATGAGGTTTACAGAATCCAGAATAAGCCACCTGTTATTTCTGATTTATTTCGAAATAACGGAATTGCTGCATGGATGCTCGCATTATTTCAAAATTACGTCAGTTATTCCGAAATAACGGTGCTGTGTAGACGCATACTAAGGAAAAGATCCCAGGGGTCCTGACGCTCCAGAATCTTGGTCTAAACCACATCAGATACTTCCCACCCCCTACTTGTCTTTGGAAATATATTCAAAAAGTGGGGCTGGTTTCAGCATCGTTTACTGACCACAATTCACAAGGTTGATGTTAGTAACACAGTATTCTAAAAGAGCTAAGTGTGCTGGGTGGTTCCTAAGTGTCATTCCCATTGGCTTCAGTGTGACTTTGCATGCAGATCAAGGGCAAAAGTAATGTGTCTACTCAAGGTTATTTCTCCAAACCCTCAGTTGATCTCCTCTGCTAGTAGCAAGAGCGGGATCCCTGTGAGTAGACAGGCTTGGGTTGGGCACTAGCTTTTTAAGCTGCTTGCTCTCCAACCCTGCTCAGTATTGTGAAGGGCTGTTAAAGTTTAATAGAGTTGAGAAATGCAACGTGGTGAAGAACAGAACACTTCATAACATGGTTTCGTGGAATGGTTTGGACAGGGTTCAAGGTTTGTCTTCATGGGACTGGTCGTTTGAGCTGGAACATACGTTTTGCCCTTCAATTAACGCTGTCCACCGGCGTTTGAGGTCAGGTATGCTTTGAGCTAGCTGGCCTGTTGAGGGACGAGTTGAAGCTTGTGTTGCTGACATTGGAACAAGTAATGAGCAATATTCCTGCTAATCTTTTTCATGTGTGGAATAATTTTTTTGTGTGCGCTGAGGCATGTGCACCATCAGTAGAAACACAAACATAGCAGGTGGCACCATGCTAATTAGCTGGGCAGCATTTGAATCTCTCCTGAGTGGCTCCCCAAGCACTCAGCTTACAGGAAATGCTGGTAGTGAGGAGGCATCAGCCTGAGTTTCAGCAACTCGGCTACCGCTAATCCAGTCGCTGCACACTGTGAATGCAGGCACTCCAGACATGTCTATGTTGCAATTAAAAACACAGGATTGGCCTGTGTCCGTAGGCTCAGGGGCTGTTTAATTGCAGTATAAACTTGGGGTTCAGGCTGCAGCCCGAACCCTGGGGCGCTCTATCCTGCAGGATTTAGAACCCAGGCGAAAACCTGAAGTCCTACATCTATACCATAATTGTACAGCCCTTAGCCTGAGCCCCAGCCGGCTGAAAGCAGAGTGATTTAACTAGTCTTTGTCTAGCTGGAGGGCTGTTTTGTGGTGTGGTTCCTGTCTTTCCACTAGCACTCTAGTTAGGCTCGATAGCTTGAGTTATTTCACGTAAACCATTGCAGTGAAGACAAACGCTTAGGTTTCCATGGTAACAGGAGATTTGGGAGGAGTCATTATGACCCTGCAGAAAGGTTTGAAAGAAATCAAGTCAGCTGTTATGCTCAAAAGTACAAAGCATGATGAATACAGTTGCATTGGCTAAGACGTACAAAGGTGACGTGTGACTTTTGGGGTGCTGAATCTGAGATACCCTGAAGGATCTAAGTTGGAGCTCCCAAATCACTCATCACTTTTGAAGAGCTTGGCTTTTGTTTTGTGCCTCCTTCTCTGTGTGGGACACAGTCAAACAGGTGTTTCACCCTATGAGCAAGATACAGTGCTCCTGGGCCAGGCCAGGGATAACTGAACCAATACTCAGAAAATAAACATGGGACGCGTTTATGTTTTGCAAGCAGGAACCGAGAAGTTTTCCCCATATCCAGGCTCCACCCCTGGGGGAATAATAAGAACAATAAGAGGTTTCAGCAGAGCGTGATGCTTAAGTAGACTTTTGCCAAGACAATCTAGGTTTGGGGGGTCATGTCTTGCAAACAGGCTGCTTTGGCAATGATTGGTTTTTTTAAGTAAGGCTAATGTTACAGCTAATTCAGTATCAGCATGTTGCTTGCAAAGGAGTAATTTATTCCAGATGACTATTAAGAATAACTGTCCTTTCTAGAAGGGGATTTTTTGTCTAAAGCGTTTACTCTAGGAGTCTTTGGGATCATTTGGATTTCTGACAAACAGTTTATAAGCTTGAAGATTAAAACACTTGCCAGAACAGGAAATCTGCAAGGCTATGCAAGTTCAATAAAATTAGATGGACAGATTGATCCTCTGTAGTCCCACACTCGGGATCAGACCAGTGCTGAACCAGAGAATTTGCTGGACCACGGGAGGTCAATATTGCAATGAGTGAGTCTCTTTTTATTTTTTATTTTGCCGAGGTGAATAAATGGAACAACACAGTGATGTGTCTTTTTCCAACTTCTGCAACAATTCCGCCTTTTGTTGTATCAATTCTGTACTGACACAAGCTCACACTCAACAAGCAGTGGAAGTGTTGGTAATACTGTTAATCTCTGAGAAGACATATTTAGGGCAAATTTAGAGCTAAATAACAGCACAGAACATTGAGAACCTGGACTGGTGGCTGTAACAAATGTTGCCAGATCATGAGAAATTTGGCTCCCATTTAGGCTAAGTAGACATCCAGCTGATTAAAATCATGCTAAACCACAGATGCTGCTGGACCAGAGAGTTCTGGACTAGAGAGGTTCACCCTGTGTTTTCCTATTGATATTTCTTTTCTCTAATGTCCATCGTATGCATTGTATCAAATTTCATGCGGTGAGGGATGGAGCAGGGTTTAATGGCTGCAGGAAGCCTCTGGACTACTGAATTTGTGGTACATTCTTCATGGCTCTCCAGCAGTATATATGAGCAGCAGTTGATAATGCCAAGGTCTAATTTAAAAGGTTGTGTAAAATTCACTGCTCCGCTTGAACAGGTTTAAAGGAGCCAAGATGTTGGCTGGGGTGGTTTAATTTGAAAATGGCTAAATAAGTGCAATGGATGTTCAGTCTCCAAGCTATGACTCCTTCACCTATTTGGGTTTTTCCCCATTCTGTCTTTTAGTAGACCATGCATGTCATACCGAGAAGCAAGATCTGAGGAGATACTCTAGCTCCTTTTCATTTCCAAAGTGCAGCCAGCTTTCTGGTGTACAAAGTCACTGGCATGCATGGGGCACCAAGTGATGGAAAGCCAGTAGTACATGTTAATGAACATGATTTACAGGTAGGTCTTTCTCTATACTGCAGTTTTGGGGACTAATTAAGTGGAGTCTTTCAGGCGAAACTCTTTCACTTACTCCCTTGCTTTTTTTTAGTTTGGCAGGATGTTAGAATGGATGACTTGTCTCCCTCGTGGGCTGCTATTCCTATGCATGACGGAGTGAGCTAAGGATGCACTGAAGTATCTTAGCTATTTGTCTCCTGTTCTGCTGAGTTTGGATGTCTTCTAAAGCATTTTCTGAGGCAGGTCAGTGGCGATCTCCATTCGTGTGATCTCTCATGCACACACCCACGCCTCTCCCTCAGTTTTCAATGGCATCCTCTTTTTTTTTTGCATCGGATTTTCTCTTTGAGAACAAAAGGCTTTTGCAGAAGTTCCCCGTTGCTTGTTCCTCTGTACTGCAGAGCAGCACGCAGTGAAAGAATGTGGGGAGAATTGTTAGTCCTGGCAGGCCTCAGTCCTGTGTCACATTTGCAATAGATCTGCTGTGGGTTGGTTAAGAAAATAGTCTGATCGGGATAAGTACCTTGTACCACCATGCCAAGCTAAAGAGTCTTAATGAAGATTCCAGCAAAGTCACTCAATCCAAAGACATTGACATTACCACGCAGGCCTAAATAATCTCCAGCTGAGTTTGGCTCTTGCCAGCAGCATTGAAATTGATAGTTTCTTTTTAACAGAGGAAAGGATGCAGGGTGAATCAAATGGGACCATAACAAAGCCTATATTTCTGGTGGCTTTTTTCTTCTCAGAACATAAGAATGGCCATACCGGGTTAGGGCAAAGGTCCAGCTAGCCCAATAGTCTGTCTTCCGACAGTGGCCAGTGCCCCCAGAGGGAATGAACAGGACAGGGAATCATCAAGCAATCCCACCCCTGTCACCCATTCCCAGCTTCTGACAAGCAGAGGCTAAGGACACCATTTCTGCACATCCTGGATAATAGTAATTGATGGATCTATCTCCGTGAATTTATCTAGCACTTTTTGGAACCCTATTATAGTCTTGGTCTTCACAACATCCTCTGGCAAGGAGTTCCACAGGTTGACTGTGCATTGTATGTAGGGTTGTGAAGGACTAGTCGCCCCCATGCTTTGCTGCCTCTATCAGAAAGAGGCAACAAGGGGGGAAGAAGGTAGTACTTCAAAGCGGTAGTGCTGCATGGAGCCTGTGTCAGCGGGGAGACCCTAGCTGACCCCGGGTTCCACATGGCACTTTCATCTTTAAAGTGTAGCAACAGCCCTAGGGCTCTTTCTACACTTCAAAGGTGAGACGCCCTATCGGCTAGTTGAATAGTCAATGCAAAATGCATCGACTATTTGATTAGTCAATTACCCACAATTTAACATCCCTACATGTATGAAGCTTTATCAAGTCCACAGTTCAGCACATTTCACTTATTCCAAACATCTTTCCCATAGGCCGCTTGACTGAACATTGCATCTTTTGCTTTACAGAAACCGGTATCTAGCTATGGTGAGATAGGAATATAACATATATGTGGCAGGCCATACAGGCTGGGATCCTAAACTGAGCTATTAAGAGAGGTGAAAGTGTGTAAGTATAACCAGATGGAATTGTGGAAGCTGTTGTCCTAACAAACAAACAATATGAAGTGCTAGAATTCAATATGGAGAAAGATGCATAAGTAATGGGAATGATGCATTCTAGGTTCTTTTCTTAAATCAGGAAAATGTTGTACAAATGAGAAATCGGTCCTAGTGAACAGAATGCTTCTCAAGGCCAATAAGGCAAATATTTGATCCTACAGCTGTGATTTGCACTGAATGCATGTTCACTGTGTCCATCTGTTCTGTGATTCTGATGAAACTCAAACTCAGTTTAGTATGTAGAATAGTGATAGAAATGTAGCTGTGTTAGTCTGGTGTAGCTGAAACAAAAAACAGGACTATGTAGCACTTTTTGATCTGAGGAAGTGAGTCTGGCCCACGAAAGCTCATCACCTAATAAACCATCTTGTTAGTCTTTAAAGTGCTACATAGTCCTGTTTTTTGTTTCAGTTTAGTAGAGAGAGTACAGATCAACCTGAATAGTGCGATATTCACCAATGTAAGCTATTGGCCCTATTTCAAACAGAAATGTCCCAATAAACTAAAAACTTTAAGTTCTATACAAATTCCTAGCCTCAAATATATTTCTAGGTGCATACATGCCTCCTTTTCTGGCATCGACTAAATCTTTTCTGTCTCTACAACATCAAAGTATCCACAAAATATTTGTCTCTCTGAGAACTATGTTAAAGGCTCCACCTTTGATCAGCTGTCTGAAGGAACCAAGAGAAAGGTCTTGAAATAACTTTTCCCAGAAGTGCAGAAAGATATATTTTGGAGAACTTGTCATCTGTGTGTCCATCTGTCTGTCTGTAAGTCCATTTGTTTAATAACTCCTAATAAACAGTAAGGGTGCATCTAGACTGGCAAGATTTTGCGCAAAAGCGAGTGCTTTTGTGGAAAAACTTGCCAGCTGTCTGCACTGGCTGCTTGAATTTGCACAAGAGCACTGACTTTGTAATGTACAAAATTAGTGATTCTTGCGCAAATACTTTCCCGCTCCCGCTCAGGAAAAAGCCCTCTTGCGCAAGAATACTTGCGCAAGAGGGCCAGTGTAGACAGGGAAGAACTGTTTTGCGCAAAAAAGCCCCGATGGCTAAAATGGTGATCGGGGCTTTCTTGCGCAAAATCGCTTCTAGACTGGCCAAGGATACTTTTGCGCAAAAGCATCCGTGCCAATCTAGATGCGCTTTTGCTGAAATACTTTTAACGGAAAAACTTTTCCGGTTAAAAGTATTTCCACAAAATCATGCCAGTCTAGACGCAGCCTAAAAGCTGGGACCATCAAATTTGGTATGCAACTTCTTCTCCTAACATAAAGCAGGGTCAGGGCTGGTTGTGCCAGGACAATGGGATGTGCCTGGAATTCAATGTTTTCATACTGTAGAATAACCACAGCAGGGACACCGAGGCTATGTCTAGACTGCAGGCTTCTTTGGGAAGCTTTTCCAGAAGAGATCTTCTGAAAAAACTTCTGAAAGAGAGTGTCTACACAGCCAAAGTGCATCAAAAAAGTGATCTGCTTTTTTGAAAGATAGCGTCCACACTGAATAGACACTATCTCGCATTTCAGCTGTGATTACTATAGGCGGATTGGCCATCAGGGCACCTGTGCATTTTCTTCTTTCCTCTTCTTTCGAAAGAACTCCCTCTTCCCCATCCACACACGCCTTTTTCGAAAAGAGCTCTTTTGGAAAAAGGCTTCTTCCTCATAGAAAGAGGATTACCGCTGTCGGAAAACCTGTGCTGTTCTTTAGATTTTTTTGCGAAAGAACACGATTGCAGTGTGGAGGTAAGTGAAGTTTTACGGAAAAACGGCTGTGTAGACATACCCCAAAGGGCCAGAGATGGAGACCAGAACAGCTGTAAACTCCATTGGGCTAGCAGGGGGGCAGGAGCAGAGAAAGGGACAGCTAGGGATGTTAAATATTGGTTAATTGAATAGTCAAGTAACCTCATGAATTCTTATTGGAAAAAACAACAAATAGTCTGGTAGCACTTTATAAACTAACAAAACAATAAAACAAAACAAAAAATAAAGTTCTACCAGACCATTTGTTGTTTTTTTCTGTACCAGACTAACTCGGCTACCCCCTGAAGCTTCTGAATTCTTATCGGTTAGTCGACTATTCTGGGGGCAGGGCTGGAAGCCAGTGCGCTCTGGCCTCACTCCTGAGAAGACTCCTGCCAGGTGGGAGATGGTCCACGAGGGGATCCCGTTTAAAAACCAGTTCCCCTTGTGGACTGGCTGGCTGTTGCTTTGTGCTGCTGCCTCTGATAAAGAGGCAGGCAGGCAGCTGCCTGTCGCTTTGTGCTGCTGCCTCTGATAAAGAGGCAGCAGCGCAGGGTGGCAGCAGCCCCTGTCTAAGGGAGGGGAGATCTGAGCTCCCGAACCCGGCACAAGTCGGAACTGAGTTGGGCTGCCTGCTCGCCCAGCTCCTAATACACTTCAAATGCAGAGCTGCAGCAGGGGTAGTTTCTGGACCCGTTGCAAGCCAGGACAGAGCCGGGCTGCTGGCCAGCCTGCTAAAAAATGTACTGGCAAGTGTGGCAGGGGTGGCCAGCTGGTGGCTCTTGAGCTGCATGCGGCTCTTTGCTTAAAGAAATGCGGCTCTTGCTAGTTCTGAGCTGCATGCCTGTACTGCTCACAGTTGGCCGCTCTGCACCTGCGCCCCAGCGCCTGGAGGGAGAAGGACCATAGGCGTGCGCAGCACATTTCATTAGCGTGCACCCAGGGAATTTTATTTTTTAAAGGCGAACATTTATTGAATACTCAATCATAAAGGACATTATTTTTATTCATCAAACAAACTAAAGAAACTAAAACTTAACTAAACTTAATTTTTTTTAAATTAACAACTAAACTTTACTTAAAAGAGCGTCTCATGTGATTCAATTAAAATGCAAAGCCACTTTTTTTTGAGACATTAGGGTGTGCCTGGGCACACCAGGCCCACCCTCTGCTCATGCCTATGAGAAGGACCAAGGCATTGGATTAGAGTGGGGGGAGGCTGGGGATGCCTGGCTCTGGGGGAGGAGGAGGGGAAGGGGATTGGGTTAGAGCAGGGGGACTGAAGCACCTTAAACTCAAAGTCTTCATGATGCAGAATAAGAAAGCCAACACAGATGTCATATTTAAATTCCAGGGCAAAAAAAGAATCAGCATGAACCTGGTTTACAATGTGCTTCTTTAAAGAAAAAATTCAAAGGCTATTGTTTGCCAGGGCAAAGCAATTATTCTGAGTTATGAGTCTCTCCCTTATTGTTTTTGAACCTCTCATATTTGCAGTCTGGTACAGACGTGAATTTTTAGAACTATGTTTTGTGTTATCTATCTATCTATCTATCTATCTATCTATCTATCTATCTATCTATCTATCTATCTATCTATCTACAAGGAGTAACTGTTAATCTGAACGAAGGACTTAGTTTGGATTAACTTTAAACTGCCGCGTGTAGCCGCGGGCAGTTCGTTCGAACTAAGGGGATTTAAAAATGGCACCCACCCGGGAACATGCAAATGAAGCCCGGGATATTTAAATCCCAGGCTTCATTTGCAAGTTTGAATGCCTACATTAGCCACCCTAGTTCAAACTAGGGGGCTAGTGTAGACATACCCTTAGTCTATAAGGTGCCACAGGACTCCTTGTCGCTTTTGCAGATCCAGACTAACATGGCTACCCCTTTGATAGTTCCAGAATATGTGCATGCGTGCATGTGTGTGTGTGTGTACAGACGCACAAACGTAAGAATGTTGCACTTGGCTAATAATACTGTGAAATGCTTGCTAAGTTCTAGATGGATAAATCAGCATCACAAGTTGAGTTGTTACCCCCAAAAGCAGATATCAGGTGGATTAGCTAGTGAGGTGCATCTGTTTCACATTCTCCCCTTCTCCTCTTCCAACATATTCCAGTTCTTTTCAGACATCAGAACCCTGAGACAAACCATTCCTCTAATCAGGCTGTACAAATGCCATCTCTTTCCAAGTGGAAAAATATGGAGGAGGCCAAGTGCAGCAAGATCCAAATACATGCCACCCAGAAGGACCAGGAAATATCTCCTTACTATATTTTCTTTGCTACAGGTTGAACTTCTCTAGTCCGGCATTCTCTGGTCCAGCAATATCCATGGTCTGGTATGATTTTAGTTAGCCAGATGTCCACTTATCATGGGTGTGGCCAAGTTTCCTGTGGTCCTAGAAAGTTCGTTTACAGCCACCAGTCCTGGCTCTCAGTGTTCTGTGCTGTGATTTAGTTTTAATTTACCCCTAAATGTCTCCTAAGAGCCCAATAAGCAGTGGAAGTGTTGGTCATGCTGCTAGACAATATTGACCTCTGTGGTCAATATTCTCTGATTCGGCACTGTTCGGGCCTGAGGGTCTGGACTACAGAGGTTCAACCTTTAATTGATTTAGCCTTTTCCTCTTGCTTTTTGCCCTTTGTCCGGAGAAAAGTGAGATTATAACAGGATAATTCACATTTCCATGTAGATTACACCAGACAGGGGTTCTTTCTCATAGATTCTCATAGATTTTTCTGGGCTAAATTCTGTTCTTTGACTGGTCTAGATCCAGAATGGACTTCAAGAGAACTGATTTCAATGGTTCTGTCCCTCTTACATCCTGTTACACCTACTTCTCCACAGGTAATTTACTCTTCACTTATTTAATTTGGTTCATTCTTTAGTACAGTATCCCTTATTTCATTTACAAGACTCATGGTTTTGATTCCCAAGAATGGCTTTTCCCGAAAGTCTCTCATCATTGTTGCTTTTGTCAGGGATTGATTTATTCTGTAGCCAAGGTTTAGAATAAATTGCTGTATAAAATTAAAATTTGCTGTCTCAGAAGTGGGTGGTTTGGTAGTGCATTCCATAATGTCATCTTCTCTGCATAGAATAAATGTGTGTCTGCTTCACCCGTAACACCCTCAGTGCAATTTGGCTATCAGTTACACCAAAGAATTCCACTGGAATAATGCCACGTAAATCAGTGAAGTTACTCCAGATTTATTCCAGTGATATATAGAGTTTCCAGTGTTACATAAAATGTGCCGCCTTGTATGTGTGCACAGTGTAACTCTCTCTCCCCTCAAATGCACACACCACACGACAGCAAGTCTCCGAGCCCTGTGGGGATAAAAATAGGAGTGTCCTGTAGACATAGGGTTTTGGGCTGGAGCCTGGAGGGTGGAGCATCTCAGAGCCTGAATGTCTATCCTGCAATTTGAAGCCCCAGATCATCAACCCGGGCTCTCAGACTCGCTGCCGTGGTTTCTTTTTCTGCTGCGTAGATGCACTTTGAGTCATTCCTCACCAAAAGTAACATGGAGACGGTAGAAAATGGCTCCCCCATGAAAAGGGTTTTAAGGTTTAGAATTGTCATGGAAAATGCAACCCGTGTGGCGGTAGCGTGGATAGAGAAAGCATGCAAAAGGTGCTTAATAAATCCCTAGTTCATCAAATGAAAATGCCAAGCCAGCTCTCTGGGGTGCTTGACACACTATGTTTAAATGTTAATGAGGTTCTTTCGTCCAGTCTCCCTGTGAGAGCGACTGAAGAACAAATATTTCTAAGATAGACGTAGGGGTTTGAAAGCAGACTTGCCCCGGTGGAAATGGGGGCCCCTGCCTGTTTTTTTTTTTTTTCATTGACTCTATCAAACAACAGGCTTCGTTGTTTGTTTTTTTCATTGACTCTATCAAACAACAGGCTTTGTTGCTCTTCAGTACTTTGCAAAGTAGAAAACTGGGCCAAAGAGGTTGAGCAACATTTAAATTGAATTGTCTAACAGCTGATGGCAAAGCCAAGCATCTAGAGCTGTTGGGCTGAGTTTAGTCTCTCATGGGCAGCAGGGTAAATTAGAACACACTCCCCTGAAGTGACCAGAGTTACACTGTGGGAAAATTGGTCTGAGATCAGAGTCGGGCCTGTAGTTTCCTTTATAGCCTAGGGTTCTCTGTGCTCTGATCCTGTGTATTCTGAGGTGGTTTAACGGGTGACGATGACCTGTATTTATTTCATTGGCCTCCTTCGCAGTGCTGCATAGGACACGCCATGTCAGCGCATCCTTATCTAAAGGCTTGTCCGGATGTAGAGGGAGTGTGTGGCAAGCGGGGGACTAAATCTACAGTGCACTAGTGCAGCGGTGTTCAAACTACGGGCCACAACCCAGGGCTGGGTCGTGGAACGTCGGGCACTGGGGCTCGTTGCTGCAGGGGGATCAGGTGACGGGGAGGGGGGGGGTGCTAAGGCAGCTACCTGCCTCTCCTGGCATTGCAGACTGTGCTGTGTCCCAGAAGAGGCCGGCAGCAGGCCTGGCTCCCAGGTGAGGGAGAGGGGAGAGCACACAAGGCTCTGCGTACCGCCCCTGCCCCGAGCACTAGCTCTGCACTTTCACTGGCTGGGAACCTGCTGCTGGCTGCTTCTGAGGCGCAGCCTGGTCTGTGGTGCCAGGAGAGGCAGGGAGCTGCCTTAGGCCCCCCGCTGCACTGCTGACCAGGAGCCCTTTGAGATAAGCCCCTCCTGCCCCAGCACTGAGTCCTCCCCAAAGCCTGAGTCCCTCCTACACCCCAAAGCTCTCATCCTTTGCCTCACCTGGGAGCCCCCACTCCAGTGAAATGATGTTGGGTCGAGGGCATCAATGATTGTCTTCAACTGGGTCATGAGAAAAAAAGTTTGAAAATCCTTGAACAGTGTGTATGCAAGGACTGACCTTGTGGGCCCAGCTACTGTGCACTGAAAGCTCCCTCAGAGTCATTCAGCCTGTCCTAGGGAACTTTTAGTGTGCAGTCCAAGGGTCCGTATAGCCAGGTAGTGCACAGCATGCTGGTGCACAGTAGATTGACACCAGGCACTAACTCTCCATTTCAACAAGCCCTAAGGCTACATCTACACTGGCCCCTAAAAACGGAAAAGTGATGCAAATCAGGTAAGTCAGCATAGGGAAATCTGCGGGGGATTTAAATATCCCCCGCGGATTTAAATAAACATGTCCGCCGCTTTTTTTCCGGCTTGGGGAAAAGCCGGAAAAAAAGCATCTAGACTGGTGCGATCCTCCGGAATAAAGCCCTTTTCCGGAGGATCTCTTATTCCTACCTCAGGTTTTTAGGGGCCAGTGTAGACGTAGCCTAATAGTTTTAGCCTTCACTGAAGGCCAATGTGTTACGCACACTGAGTAGTGTCTCACTCACCCAATGATTTCAGCCTGGCTACTTGCAGAGAGAACTACCATTCCTGAATGGTCTGGAGCCAGTGGCAATCAACATTTTCCATCCATGGGCGGAATAATTTTTGTTACGTGCACCGAGGCATGTGCAGATGTGCACCACCAAGAGCACCATGCTGCTAGCTGTGGCAGCTGTGGGTGTTCTGACAATCAGCTAGGTGGCACCTGAATTTCTCCCGGGTGGCTGCCCAAGCTCACAGAAAATTGGTGGCAATCTCTGGTTCCTCTTCTTGATGACTTCACTCCTCAGCTACAAGGGTCTGGCTAGGAAAGACAGAGAGGGAAGATGGCACTTCTGCACCTAACATGTGTGACTATCAAGCCCATATAGTGGCAGCTCCCTGGGTGACTTGGTGGCGGAGTGAGTCAGGATAAGGCAAACTCCATGCATGATGGCATGATCTGGAGAAAACTCTGAGTAGAAACATGGCAGGAAGCTGTATTGCTGTGCTGCTTTTCAGGATCACACAGGATCTCACTTTGGAAGTGTTCACAGATCAGCTGGATCATGCAGTACATGCTGGAGACATGTCACCTTCAAGGCGGAAGGAATTTTACCTGCATTTGGTGAACTATGCTGTGCTTGTAAATCGGCAAGAGCTAAGCCGTGGCACTCACATTCCTGTGGATCAAATGCTCCATGATCTCTTAGCTGGTTTATGAAATTCTGGCCCGAGACGATTATTTTAGGTGCATGGTGTTCTATTCTGCGAACTCTCAGAGCGCTGTTTCCTGAGAAATAAATGAGACATTTCCAGGAGGGGCGAGTCATCTACATCCAGTAACTCGTCTTATGGATCTTATGGAACTGGGAATTTGTGGGGGACTGTTCAGATCCAGGGATTGTGTTAGGCCCATTACAAAGAGAAAGTGCAAACTTTTCAATCTGTATCCATGTGAATCTTACAATAAGGGTTCCTGGTACAGTGGGTGTCACTAATAAATAATACAAAATACAGGACTATGTAGCACTTTAAAGACTAACAAGACGGTTTATTAGATGATGAGCTTTCGTGGGCCAGACCCACTTCCTCAGATCAAATAATGGAAGAAAATAGTCACAGCCATATATACCAAAGGATACAATTAAAAAAAATGAACAAATATGAAAAGGACAAATCACATTGCAGAACAGAAGGGGGATGCGGGGGGGTGGGAAGGGGGAGGAAGGAAGGTAAGTGTCTGTGAATTGCTGATATTAAAGGTAGGGAGAGTGGGATGTTTGTGAGTTAATGGTATTACAGGTGATAATTGGGGAAACTGTCTTGGTAATGGGTGAGAAAGTTCAAAGACTTGTTAAGTCCTTGTTGGTAAGTGTCGAATTTTAACATGAATGACAGTTCAGAGGATTCCCTTTCAAGTGCAGATGTAAAAGGTCTTTGTAGCAGAATGCAGGTGGCTAAGTCATTTAGAGAGTGTCCTTTCTGGTTAAAGTGGCAAGAAACTGTTTTCTCTTTGTGATCTTGTCTGATATCTGTTTTGTGGGCATTAATCCTTTGGCGAAGTGTCTGAGATGTTTGTCCAATGTACATAGCAGACGGACACTTTCGGCACATGATAGCGTAGATTATATTTCTGGATGCGCAGGAATATGTGTTCTTGATCTTATAACTCACTTGGTTAGGTCCAATAATGGTATCAGCAGAATGAATATGTGGACAAAGCTGGCAACGGGGTTTGTTGCAAGGGAAGGTACCAGGGTTGGTATTAGTGTGGTATGTCCTGTGGTGGTTGGTAAGAATCATCTTGAGGTTAGGTGGTTGTCTATAGGAGACTATGGGTCTGTCTCCCAGAGCCTCTTTGAGTATGGTATCCTGTTCCAATATAGGCTGTAGTTTATTGATAATGTGTTGGACAGGTTTAAGTTGGGGGTTGTAGGTGATGACAAGTGGTGTTCTATTGTTGGTTTTCTTGGGTCTGTCTTGAAGTAGATGGTTTCTAGGTATTCGTCTGGCTCTTTCAATTTGCTTTTTTGTTTCTCTGGGTGGGTAGTTGAGATTTATAAATGCTTGGTAGAGATCCTGAAGCTTCTGGTCTCTGTCAGTGGGGTTAGAGCAGATGCGGTTGTATCGAAGGCCTTGGTTATAGACGATGGATCGTGTGGTGTGTTCTGGATGGGAGCTGGATGCATGTAGGTAACTGTATGAGTCAGTGGGTTTTCTGTAGAGAGTGGTGTCTAATTTTCCATTGTTGATTTGTACGGTGGTGTCCAGGAAGTGGATCTCTCGTGTAGAATGGTCCAGGCTGAGGTTGATGGTGGGGTGTAGGTTGTTGAAATCTCTGTGGAATATCTCCAGTGTTTCTTGGCCATGCGTCCAGATCATAAAGATGTCATCGATGTACCGTAGGTAGAGGAGGGGTGAAAGGGGACGGGAGTTGAGGAAACGTTGTTTTAGGTCAGCCATAAAGATGTTGGCATACTGTGGGGCCATGCGTGTACCCATGGCTGTGCCGCTGATCTGGAGGTATAAGTTGTTCTCAAACTGGAAATAATTGTGGGTGAGAACAAAGTTACATAGGTCTGCTACCAGGTTGGCAGTAGTGTCCTCTGGGATAGTGTTTCTAATTGCTTAGTAATCCGTCTTCATGTGGGATGTTGGTGTATAGTGCTTCTACATCTATGGTGGCAAGGATGGTGTTATTGGGGAGGTTATCGATGTTTTGTAGTTTCCTTATTAGTAAATAATAGTAATGGGACACTGGATTAGGATGCCTGGTTTCCTTCCCTGCCCCCAATCTGCTGGACAGTTCCCTTTACCCCATTGTTTTCCCTTCCACCTTTCATCGGTGTTGCTTGCTGGGGCAGGGACTGTCTTACATTATGCTGGTTCAGTGCTAGCACAGTCGTGCTCTGTTCTTGGTTGAGGCTTGCATTCACTACTGTAATGTAAATAAGAATGACAAGCTTTCCTCCTGCCTTACAGTTTCACTGGTGTTTTGAGCAAGGGCGAGCCGCTTTTAACTGTGAAGCCCCTTTCTGCACTATTACAGGGGGACTGCAGAACAGCAAGCCCATGTTAAACTTTAAGCATAAATGGACTCCGAAATAAAGTTCTGGGTTAAGAGTCCCTCTAGGGATTACTCTGTTTTTCTTGGGCTGAAACATCTGTCAATATCTAGAGGATGGTGGTCCGGTTCTTCCACAGGCAAGGTCTGAGAATTTCCATGCAGTATCTGGTATTTATTTCTGGCTGATGATCATCAGTTTACCAGTTTTTCTCCTAATTGTTTCCTGAAAGTGATTATCTCCAGAAAATCTCTGTGGATTTGCAGGGACTGGAATGTTTCCCCACCAAGCTGTATGCAGCCCGACATCAAAGTAAACTAGGAAACTGTTAGCAAGCACCAACTGGGTCTGCGAGGACCAGTTAATGCACAACACTTTAGTGCAAAGAAATCACACCACAGTAGTGCACATTGCTGCTCGGTGCAGATCAATGTACGAGCACTGAAAGGCATTGAATTGTCAAAACTGAAGTGGCACAAAACAGAGTCGGTTTCATCCAATCTTCCAACACAAATCATTTTCTTTCGAAGGTTTAAAATAGAAATATTTCAACACTTTCTAAACAAAAAAAATCCAGTTTTACGGATCAAAATGACTATTTGTTTCAAAATGTAAGCAAAGTGGGAAAATATATTTAAAGAAAATAAGGTTAAACTCAAAACAACCTTTTGATTGGTCTCAATGGACAATTCTTCAAAAGTCAAAAGTTTTGATTTTTCATCTCAGACAGGAAAGCTACTTCCTACAATGCTGATTGCAACAGAAATAGTTTGGTTATATAACCCTTGTCTGTATGTGTGGGCAGGGACTGGAATTAAGGGGCAGTGGGAAAGATAATCTGTATAACTTACTTGCAGCACTGATGGTTATTAATGTTGTGGACATATTTGAAAATAAAACCTTCCTGACACAACACAATGTAGTCTCCCGTTCTGTCATATTCTGTAGTGACAAAGAGTAAACCCACCATAACTATTTAACTTTTTGCAATGTGTTTCTACTTTCTGGCAGACTATATCAGGGCTGTGATTCTTCAGGATCAACAGGCTGACCAAAAGACATGACAAATTGGAGGAAAGACTTTTTTCCTGGAATTAAATGCACACTAGTATTGACCCCGGGAGTTAAGAAAACTCGACCAACAGACATTTCCCAAAGCATTGTGGTCTTCATAAACTTCAGTTTAACCTGAGTGAGAGACAGCATCTTCTCCTATTACTCTTAGGGAAGGGGAAGTGGTCAGAGGAGTCTTAAAATTGTGAACACTTTCAACAGCTGGAGAATGCAGATGGTCATTTTTGACTCAGAGAATTGGCCTGAGAATATTGCAGGATGTTTTGTTCAGACTAAAACATAGTGATCATAATGAAAAACACCTCTTTCTAAAGAGGACTGTGGAGAATGGAGATGAGTCCTTTCTTTTAATACATTCTTGTCCTTCCCGCTTCCAAAATTATTAATAACTGGTGTCATGAAAACCAACGGCAAACTCCCATTGACTTCAGTAGGTTCAGGATTTCACCCAGTAGCTTTTCTATTAAACAACTGGGACATACTCATTTTGGGATTGGGCCTTATTTATAAGACTCACGTCTAGGTTTCCTGCTAAGATTTTCCATCCTTGAGCGGGGCGAGTTTTGTTTTGTGCACCAATTTTGAGGTCGTGTGCACTTGTTCCGATGTGTGCCACCATGGCACCCACCAGTTACTAGCAGATATCATATCTATTTAAATGTTATGGCAGAAAGAATACTAAACCAGCCTTTTCCCAGTCAAAAAGAGTGAAAAGAGCTGTTAAGTCAGAACTTTCACCCACACATCCTTATTATTAGGGCTGACCCTAAGTGCCAATGTATTGTATCATGCCATCAGTTACAGATAAAGTAAAAAGACATCGCAACCTCCCCCCACAACACACACACTCATACCTGCAAAGTTTGACCAATATGCTGTTTTTCTGAAAGGCCTGTGCTGCGTCGCTACACAACACCAGCAATAAATGGTGGCACAGACCCCAAGGAATCAAACCTCAGGAGAAAGATTTCAGGTACTTTTCTCCCCAGCAACATCAAATTTTAGGCAGCTCTATTCTTCCCCTCAACTAGCATAAATTGTCTTCAGTTCCAGCTAATGGCTCGGCACAGTGGGGTTATGAAATGCACAGGGGATGAGCTAGCAGGGTAGGCAGGCAGGGGAGGGGCATGTGTTTACAATGTTGTTTCCATTAACAGTTGAGGGCCAGCTCAACCCATTTTAGGGATGAAGTTTCAAAGCAAACCTGGGACTGGACAGGACACAGAGGAGAGACAGAGGCAGCGAAATCCCTGCCCCAAGGAGCTTAGTACATCTGTTGATTATGATTTATTTTTGCTACCAGGCTCCTTCAGATCTCCCAGCCCTAAGTGTTGGGCCACTCGCTGCCAGTCCGGCCCCATGTCCCAATCTCCCTGGCCCTGGACCAAGGGATGAGCTGGCAGCTGCTGTCTCTGGGGAGTGTCTGTGGCAGAGGGCAGGCAGAGGCGAGACCAGAGGTTGGCAGCCCAATCTGAAACGGGCAGCACCATGTTGTGCACCATGAGCTCCTTGGCTGCCGCCATGTCCCGCTGCCAGGTCACACCAGCGGTGGCACCCGCAGGTGGCCAGAGCCAGAGGCGGCTTTCAGCTGTAGCCGTGACAGCTCTGGCTGGGGGAGGAGCCGCCGCCAGTCACGCGGCTCTGGTCTCAGCTGCAGCCACTGGAACAGCTGCTGCCCATCATGTAGCTCGGGCCTTTGGAACAGCTGCCGCCAGCCACGAGGCTCCAGTCCCGCAGGTCAGGGGTGGATGAGAGTTTTGCGGGGCCCAGAGCTGCACAATTTCACGGGGCCTCTCTCACCTCTCACTGGGCATCTCCTCTCTCCCCTGTGTTGTGCGGCGTTTCAGCACGCCACGCACGCGCTCCTCCACCGTGCGGTGCGCAGTGCTGTTGAATTTAAAGTGCTGTATCCCGCTGGGCCTGTCCACCCCTGAGCGCGGGGCCTGGGGCAGCCGTCCCGCTCACCCTGCCCTATATCCACCGCTGCCGCAGATCCAGCCCTGGAGCATCTGAACAGCCACTGTGTGGCCCTGCTGAGGAGGTGGCAGGGGCTCAAATTCTTGGTGTGCGCCCATGCAGACACGCACCTCAGAGGGAACACTGCTCACAGCTGTGAATTTGGGTCCCCCACATGGTGACCAAAGTTCTTGTTTGATTTATCGGGCTCTGATCCTTCAGTTGACTACCCTGTGCCTGCTCCGAATCCTAGAACTCAGGACAGGCTGGGCCCCGTCCCTTGTTATCACCCTGATGTCTAATCTTGCAAGCGACTCATCAAACTCCGCTTGCTCTGCATGGCTCTACTCCGCAAGTAAATGGCTTTGTTTCTAGGGTCAAAGCCTTTAAGCATCCTACCAACAAAACTACTGACTTGAATTGTCCCCAGGAAGCTGCACTTGCCATCATATCCACTGATGGAGCAGAGCAGGGACAGCACTCCTGCTCTTTTGAACTTGTATGCACTGGGCATGCGAAGTCCTGCCACACACACAACGCCATTTTATACAGAAACCTGGTGGGGGTTGCGGTGGTGGGGCAAGGTCATGCTGGCAGAGTACTTGCCCTTAAAACATTAGGGCTGCATCTAGAGTGGCATGATTTTCCAGAAATGCTTTTAACGGAAAAGTTTTCCGTTAAAAACATTTTCGGAACAGAGCGTCTAGATTGGCACGGACGCTTTTCCTCAAAAGCACTTTTTGCGGAAAAGCGTCCGTGGCCAATCTAGACACGCTTTTCTGCAAAAAAGCCCCGATCGCCATTTTTGTGATCGGGGCTTTTTTGCAGAAAACAAATCTCAGCTGTCTACACTGGCCCTTTTGCACAAAAGCTTTGCGCAAAAGAGACTTTTGCCTGAACGGGAGCAGAATAGTATTTCCGCAAGAAGCACTGATTTCTTACAGTAGGGAGTCAGTGCTTTTGCGGAAATTCAAGCGGCCAGTGTAGACAGCTGGCAAGTTTTTCTGGAAAAGCGGCTGATTTTCCGGAAAAACTGGCCAGTCTAGACACAGCCCAGGGCTGTGCCATTGTACCACTTCAAAGGGCTACCAGGTCAGCAACTAGACTCACTTGAATACATTTCTGCAGTATTAAGGGGGCGGAGAAATAGTATAACTTAAAAAGGAAGCGCGTATTTCCAAATCCAGCCCTGGAGATCTATTAGTGTCAGGCTGCCTGTCAGAACTGCTTAAGTGGCGTTGTCATGCTGGAGGAGTAACAAGGATATAATTTACATATATGTCTGCTAACACAAGAGTATAGCTCATGTCCCCTTTGTCCTACCAACTGTCTGGTTATTTGGCTTTTTTCAGAGTGGGAGTCGCACAGCCCTTTGGACACTGCTTGGAGAGCACTGAGAACTTTCTACCAACAATAATTAAAACCATTGCATGTGTAATATGTCTATCCTACTGGGGGCTGGATTTCTATTTATAGTGATGCAAACTGAAAGGGACCAAGGTTACAGCCACACTATAAACAAGGGGTGGGAACTTTTTTTAGGTTGGGGGCCACTCACCCCCAGAAAAATCAGTCGGGGGCCAACACACGTAAGAAGCAAAAAAACAAAAAAAAACCCAAACCCTCACTGAGCAGCTCCCGACTGAGAATGAGAAAGACACCCCTCACATTTCCCTCGCACACCTTGGGGGGCCCAGGCTTATGGTGAGGGGCTGGGCTGGAGTACCAGCACAGTCTCGCAAGTGCTGGGCAGGAGGGAGCCCAAAGTCTTGGGGGCCCAATCCAGGAGAGCCAGGGGCTGCATCTGGCCCCGGGCCTTAGGTTCTCCACCCCTGCTATAAACTTACATCAGTGTAGCTACATCATTCAGCAGTGTAGACATCACTATATTGATGGAAGTGTTTCTTCCATTCACAATAGCTACTGCCTCTCACAGAAGCGACTCTGCACTGAGGTAAATGTCACATGCAGTAACTTTTCTCAGTGGAATAAGCTGTAAAAAGGTTTCCTTGGATTTCAATGTATCTCATTCAATGTCATATGTTTGTTGGGATAGGAAATCACACCAATTTAGGCCACATGTACACAATATCAGACTATAGGATATATATAAGAAAACAAACATTTTCCCTGTGCAATTAGGGCTGCCAGCAGCCACAATGCCCCCCTCTCCCACATACACACCCCACACTATTTCACTATCCTTAAAAATACATCCATAAATATTATTAATCACAGTGGTCTGTAATTGAGGATTGTCATTTTCTGCAAACATCTGCGAGACTAGAAGTATACAGACTTGCCACTCAGTAAACAGGCACTTCTATTTATTTACAAATTCAGTAGTCTAGGGGGACAGCAGTTATGAACAACAGAGGCAGATAGAGTGAAAACTGTTTCTAAAAGCAACTCACGTCCGGAAAATATAGGGATATTTACAATAACCTTGCCAATGTGTCGAAGGAAAAAGTGTCTTTCATCACTCCACTACATTTGTTTATAATGTTGTGTAAGAAAATACTCCAGAAAGAAAATTGTCTGGATTGTGTGAGAAGTACTTAGTCAATAATGTACACAGAATCCACGTATGGCGTTACAAAACAATATTGATATTCCAGGAAAATACATCTGGTTTTCACTCAATAAATTAACCAATTCTTGGTTCCTAGAAGTCATTGGGCCTCTACGTTTTATACAATTTCTTCATTGTTGTTAAAGCATTTTTTGAAAGTGGACATGTCTGCTAAAAATAAGGGTAAGAGATAAACCTCCATCAATCTGTGAACTGTAGTTTCTTTTAAAAAAGCAACTGCATTTAACCTACAGCATACCAAGAATGAGTTTGACATTATCAACATGCTAACGAGTATTGTGTGTTCCTCCTAGCACCCAGTCCTGCAGTCCTCTCAAAAACCACACTCCTATTCTCATTACGCTCATATTTCACGGTGCCTAAGCTTGGTGAATCAGAGCCAGGAGACACAGGCCAGCCACGGGAGTTTAATTGAAACGTAGACATATCCTGCGGTCCCGCAGCATAAACCCTCTGGTGACTTTTTACCAGATTAAATAATTGCCAACATAATAACTCCTCTCTGTCTGCTTCATGCAGGGCTGAGGGGGCTAAAAGATAAAGACTATTATGGGATGCATGGTTGAGTGGGAGCAGGAGGCGGTGGATCTTAGGGAAAGGTGTATTTTCTTGTCTTTGGTTTTAAAAGCAGATAAAATAGAAAACATGTTTCTATTTTCCTATGCTGTGTTTTCTTCTGTTAATGGTTTCCTTATTCTCTTTGGCTTTTATCCATTCAAGAATATACTGCATCTCCTAAACTCATGTCATTTTAAACTTTATATAGAAGC